AAAAAAAAAAAAAAAAAAAAAAAAAGTATTAGCTAAGTTTTTCACTATCATTGTTAATACGCATCCTTGTCTCTAGTCAGTTGGAGCCTTCCTGGAGTTGCCATTGTATTTAAAAATACAATAACCAGGGTCGGGGATTTAGCTCAGAGGTTCCACTACCTGCCTCCCAAGTGCAAGGTCCTGAGTTCGTTCCCAGTACCAAAAAAAAGAAAAGAGAAACAATACAATACGATAAATCTGGTCAGTTTTATTTTCCATCTTTCTTGGCATAACCACCTGGTGGTGAAAGGACAAATAGAAAGGAAGGATTATCAGAGCCAAGAAAAGGTGAACTAGAAAAGTCCAGTAGTATGGGATACAATAAGGAAGTTTGCCAGTCTGTCCCAGCTCTGAACCGGAATGGAAACACACTTGGACAATTACTTCAGTTTGATGTGAGATCTGACTTTATTTATCTGAGTGGCCAGAAACCTAGCTAAGAAATTAACACCTAAATATTAGCTCTGAGTATGGAGCAGAAGCCAGTGTGAAGACACACACAGAATATTCCAATGCATTCTAGAATAGTGCAGCCCATACAGGAATCCTTTGGGGTGGGAGTAAGGGAACAGAGCCTTGCTAGAGAATAAAAATTGTGAAACAGGGTTCAGTGGTAGAATGCTTGCCTAACTTGTGCAAAGCCCTACATTCCACTTCCAGTACAACCAAAAAAAAGTGTATGTTTATAAATAAAAAGAAAATACCTAAGGAGAGTATGAACTAGTAGATGCAACAAAAGAAAAATTAAAGCCTAAACTGATTTCGTTGATGATAAAATCCCTTTAGAAAATAAGTTGGTTTAAAATAATTTAAGACATAAAATAAGTGGGTGTGGTGGTCCACACCTATAATCCCAGCACACAGGAGGCTGAGGCAAGAGGGTTACCACTAATTTGAGGCCAGCTTAGGGTACGTAGTTCAGAGCCAGCCTGAACTACATAGGAAAAAATGTCTCAACCTGCCCCCCTAAAGGAAATACAATCTCAAGAAAGTAAAAGAACACAGAAAAAAATAAGCAGGCCTGATTAAAAACAAAATAGCACTTGTACATGTGAAATCTGTGGTAACTGAAATTAAGAACAGAATGGCTGTTGTAATTAAAGAAATGATTAGTGGACCAGAGGGTAGATCGGAAAAAGTTACGTGAAATGTTGTACAGGATGGAAGGGTCTGAGCGCAGTGCAGGACTGCATCTGCAGGACTGTTCAAGAGTTCTAGAAGAGGAGGGCTGGGGATCTAGAGTTCAGTGGCACCGCCCCTGCCTCACAAGCATAATGTCCTGAGTTCAATCCCCAGTACAAAAAAAAAAGTTCTAGAAGAGGAGAGTACAATCAGGACAGAATATGCAGAAAGAGAAAATGGATGGAAACTGTCCACAAGTGATTGTGTCAACAGTGAATTTAAGCAAACTAAACAAGAAAGAATCTCTGGGCGTGGTGGCGCAGGCCTGTAATCCCAGCACTTGGGAGGCTGAGGTGGGAAGATTGCTGTAAGTTCCAGGGCAGTCTCAGCTACATAGTGAGACCCTGTCTAAAAAATAAATAAATAAACAAGAAAGAATCTAGATATTGAAAAAATGTAGAACTAAAAATTTTGTGGAATGTCTTAAACCAAGATAGAAAATGTTACGCTTAGGAAGAATGATAATTGCAGTGATAGCAAATAAACTTCTGAATTGTAACAGTACAGATGGGAAAACAGTGAGATAAATAGTTTCTGATTCTTTTTCAGCTTATGTCTGGGTTTTTTAATGTTACACACTAGCTTTTAAATGTTAGCTTTTATAAGATTTTCCTCCCCACACATGTAGTTTTTGTTTGCAGTAATTAAATGTTCCGTGTGTAGACAGTCAGCTGCTCATCATGGAGAGTGAAGAGGATTTTAGGGTTTACAGCTCTGCTCAGCACTAGCCAGTGTGTGGGCGTGGGTCGAAAGCATCTGGTGACAGAGAAAGGAGAGAGGAGGTCAGGTAGATAGAGACAGGAGTGGAAGTTCCCCCAGAAAAGAAAAACAGGGCTGGGAAAGGAAGTACTTTACTGATTGAGGCTTCCTTAACCCTGGAGGGAATGAAGTCTCCTGCTTTTCCACCCATGTAGATAGAAGGACTTTTAGGAATTGTGACTGCTGGATGAAATGTTTTTTTAAAAAAAGGATGAACTTGTTCACTCACCTTTCAACAATTAGTGTCACTTTATAACTAAAAATGACAAGGCTGCCAGGCATGGTGTGCACACCTGTAATCCCAGTGCTCTGGGAGGCTGAGGCGGGAGGATCCCAAATTGCAGCCCTGCCTGGGCGGCTTCACTACTTAGTAACACACCATCTCAAAATTTTAAAAGGGCTGGGAAAGTAGCTCAATGCAAAGACCCTGGGTTCAATCCTCAGTCACACCCACCACAACCCCCACCCCACACAAAATCATAGCCAATATAAGTTAAACAATAGGAGTTCAACTTTTGTGGCAGTCAAGTGCTTTCACTCAGATTAGGCTGGAATGATTACAAGGGACCTGACTGTCCTCTGTGATAGTGTTTTATATTTTCTGTGGAAATACAAGTTATGCAGGTTTGCCATGCAGCCTCTTCCTTAATTGTCCTTATAGTTTTCCTTAGTCAACTTTGGCCTTGTTTGCTTCTGACTGTGCACCATCTGTCTCCTTTGCTCCTGTCCAAATATGCTTGTTTTTGCCTGGCGTATATGGACCTCTTAGCAGAAAAGGCCATGTAGTCAGCATGCTGTAATAGCTTCTGGTAGGGAGCTCTTGTAAAAGTGCAGTGTAACTAGATTTAATGATTTACTTGTCCCGCTGTGACACGACCTCTCGTGGAACTATATTTAGTCATCCTTCAGAATCCATCAGTCTGTGCTGATCCTATTTCTCCTATAACAGTTTCCTCCTCAGACCAGAAAACAATTGATGTGGCCTTACTCTGCTTCTTGTTTCAGATTATAAATCGAATCCCCAAAATGAGGAATCAGCCGATGAGCAGAACAGTCCTAAAGAAGAGTCTGGCGCAGATGGACTCGAGAGGGATATCATTCCTGTGATTATTGCCAATAAGTGTGAGGCCAGGTCAGACAGGCAGTGGGTAAACCTTGAAAAGCAGAGAGGAGTAAAAACTGCTCTTCCAGAGACAGGTTCCAAGAAAAAGGCAGACTCAGTTCCTACTAAAGCAACCCCAGGAGAGAGACGTTACATATGTGCTGAGTGTGGAAAAGCCTTTAGTAATAGTTCAAATCTTACCAAACACCGGCGAATACACACTGGGGAGAAACCTTACGTGTGCACCAAGTGTGGGAAGGCTTTCAGCCATAGCTCCAACCTCACCCTTCATTACAGAACCCACTTGGTGGACAGGCCCTATGACTGTAAGTGTGGGAAAGCCTTTGGGCAGAGCTCAGACCTCCTTAAACATCAGAAAATGCACACAGAAGAGGCGCCGTACCAATGTAAAGATTGTGGGAAGGCTTTCAGTGGCAAAGGTAGCCTCATTCGACACTATCGCATCCACACTGGGGAGAAGCCCTATCAGTGTAACGAGTGTGGGAAGAGCTTTAGTCAGCATGCAGGTCTCAGTTCACATCAGCGCCTCCACACTGGAGAGAAGCCCTATAAATGTAAGGAATGCGGGAAAGCCTTCAACCACAGCTCAAATTTTAATAAACATCATAGAATCCATACTGGGGAGAAGCCCTATTGGTGTAGTCATTGTGGAAAAACCTTTTGTAGCAAGTCAAATCTTTCTAAGCATCAGAGAGTGCATACTGGAGAGGGAGAAGTTCTGTAATTGTCGAAAATGCCCTTTGGCTGTTGTTTTTGTTTTTGTAAACATTAGAATGTGAATGTTAGGGAGAAGTCCTGTAATGCAATAACAGCTGATAGATTTTGCTACACTCAGCATCAAAGGCCACCCATGGAGTGAGCTCCTGGGGTAGGTAGGCAGGAGGTCCACACAGAGCAGCAGTGGGTCACCTCCCAGGGCAGAGTCCCCTCCTATACTGCAGGACCCCCATGAGCGGTGCCAGCATTGCCTTCTGCATAGTTAAATTGATGTGTATCCAGTATAATAAAGGAAGAAACATTAAAACTTGTTTAGCTGTTGTATTCTAGAATTGTAATTTGTAAAGAACTGAGCCATACTGAATAGAATTTAATAAAATTCAGAATAAACAGACATGTCATGCCTCAGGACTGATATTTTGATAAATGGTGTGTTGCTTACTGAACACTGTTAGAGATAAAACTATTCCGACTGGTTTAGCTTTTAGAACATTTGTGTAGATATAGCTTCAATGCCTGGGAAACCTGTATGTGTGTGAGGAAGTTGCAATGTGTCCTGTAGCTGCATATTGACCTATGTTTTCCCTCCCTACATGCTGATACATATACATACATACATACATGTTTTTTCGCTTCATTTGATCAGCCTTGTGTATTTTTCCTGTCTGTTAAAGTCTATGAAAAGTGACTCCTTAAGCAGCTTCCTTCTGAAACTTGAGAAGTTGTCACAATACAATTACCTTAAATCCACCCTGCCTTTCCCTGTGAACTCTTAAAACACTTCCTCTAGCTTCTATCTCTTGGCAACTTCTGGTCACTGGAAACCCAACTACTTCACTACTCCTTGAATTAATCGCTTGCCTTCATACTATGACAGGTACTTTCCACCTCTGATTAGTACTCACTGAACTATCCCTTTTCCTGGTCTTGAGCCTGACGTGCCAGGATGGATAGCAAGAAATTTTCATGTGCAGTACCAGATACAGTCTTTAGAAACTGCTCCCTGTGTAATCCTGGGATCAGATTCGGCCACAGGTGAGTCTTAGGTCCTGGCCAAATACAGGTGGAGTTGGGGATGTCATTATTGGAATTGAAAATAAATTTTCTTACTGTTCTAGTAACATTCTGAAAAGCGCTGTCCTGCCAACATGTTAAAACAGTATATTTTATGATGACCTATCCTGTCTACGCTGATGAAGGCCAACAATTTAATCATCAGGCAGCAGCTTTGTTGCCTTTGTCAATATTTACAGCTGTTCCCCATTGCTTGCATCACCACCTCAGCTCTGCCTCCTGTCAGATCAACAGTGGCACCAGATTATCACAGGGCTTGCATCACCACCTCAGCTCTGATCAACTGATTCTTTGCCTTTGTCCTCTTCCTGTAAGTTTTAAATGTAAACCCCCCCCCATTAGCCCTATATAAAATGGCCTCTGTTTCTGAGCTAGCCGCCTCTCTGAGCTACTTGGCTTGGGGAGTGCCGTCTGGCCAGACTAATAAAGGTCTATTTGCCAACTTGCCTGGTGTGTTCCTTCCTGGGTGACTCGCTGTCCGACAAGCTCCTGGAGCCTCGCTGAGCTTCTGAGCCCAGCATCGTGGAAGCCTCTTGGCTGTTCACGCTCCAGAAGTAAAAGTGAGATGTAAGTCTTACAGTATTGGGTTTTCACGTGTCATGCAATGTGCTAATTAGTTCTAGCATCATTAATCAGTTGCCACAGGCCATATTCATATATTCATGGCCAGGTTTTAAAGAGTTGGGTTTTTTGTTTTGTTTGGGCAGTACTAGAGATCCTTGGCAGGCCTTTCCACTGAGCTACATACCCAGTCCTTAACTTTATTTTGAGACAGGGTCTCACTGAGACAAAAGTTGCCCAGGCTGGGCTTGAACTTGTGATCTTCCTGCTTCAGCCTCCCAGAATGCTAAGGTCACAGGCGTGCACCACATTTGGCAAGAATATTCTTTCTGGCCAGGTGTGGTGGTGCACGCCTGTAATCCCAGCACTTGGGAGGTTGAGGCAGGAGGATCACTGAGTTCGAGACCAGCCTGGGCTACATAGTGAGTTCAAGGTCAGTCTCAACTACATAGTGAGACCCTGTCTCAAAAAACAAAACAAAACAAAACAAATTCTTTCCTGCTGTTTTTGCAATGCACCACAAATTTGGTGTCTTAAAAAAGTACAACTTTATTATGGTTTTGTAGCTTGGAAGTTTGAAATGGGCTAAAATCAGGGCATCAGCAGGGATGTGTCCTTTTGTGAAGGCTCAGAGAGACTCTCCCTACCCTTTCCAGCTTCTAGAGGCCCCCAAATTCTAATCTTATCCCTCCATCTTCAAAGCTAGGTACATAACATTTCTAGCCCTTCTGCCACAGTCACATCTAACCTCTGACTCTATTGCCTCTTCCACTTTTAAAAGCCTTCTTGATTATAGTGGAGCCACCTGGGGAATCTCACTCTCTTCAGGGTTAGCAGATTCATTCCCCAGATTCCAGGGTTAGGATTTAGCAATCTTTGGGGGCCATTATCCTGCCTACCACAGACTGTCTCCAAATGTGTTCGCAAGACATTAAAACCTGACACAGTTCTCTCTGTCAGTATTCTCTAGCCCCATCCCAGTTTATTCTGCAAGCCAGCATAACAACTCCCTCTCCCAGTCTAGTGCTTTGAGAGCTGTGCCCCTTTGTATTCCTCGGTGAGGCTATACAACACTCCAGGGACTAAGCCATTTTCTCATGCAACATAGAGAAGTCACTAAGACCTAATCCTAGTTGTTTTGTGTGCATCAGGGAAATAGGGACAGATATTTTTGAAGAGGGCATTGTGGGAGGCATCAGTCTAGGTGAAATCTTCGTATGGTCTCTAAGAAAAAAGTAAAAGTAAAAAAAAATAAGGCTTCTCTCCTCTAGCTAAGGGGGAGGGGAATGCATCTGCTAAGCCATGAGCATCAGGAAAATAAATTATTTGTTCATCCAAAATTCAAATTTCATGGATATCTTGTATTTTTACTTGTTAAATTTGGCACAGCCCTTAAGGGAAAAAAGAGGGCAGAAACAGCCTAAATAGAAATCCAAGAAGATGAATATTAACAATAAGGGCAGCCAGGTATTATGATGCATGCCTGTAATCCCAGCACACTGGGAGGCTGAGGCAGAAGGATCACAAATTCAAGCCTAACCTGGACAATTTAGCAAGACCTCTCAAAAGGGCTATGGGGGCCAGGGATTTAGCTCAGCGGTTCTGCTGTCTGCCTCGCAAGTGCAAGGACCTGAGTTCAATCCCTGGTACCAAAAAAGGGGGGTCTATGGATGTAGTTAAGTACAAAGCCCTGGGTTCAGTACCCAGTATCCACTGCCCCCCCAAAAAAAAACACCTATAAGGGCATCAAATTATAACATTAGAACCTGTGATCTAGGTTTTTTCTTTTGTTTGAAGACATTAGAGGCTACTAAGGAAATAATGTGAAAGTGCACAGATGCTATTATTTGCAGTAAACAGTTCTGGAGTAACTGGATGTCCACATGCAAAACCAAAAAAACAAAAGCAAAAAATTGGCTGTAGACGCAGATCTTATACCCTTCACAAAAGCTCAAAATGGAAAGACCTAAAGGAAAAACAAAACTATAATGTGCTAGAAGTTAACAGAAAATCTAGATGGCTCCGGGTTTGGCAATGACTTTAAGGATACAATACCGAAGGCACAACTCCATGAATAATTGATAAGCTGAATTCAATTAAAATTCAGAATTTTAGGGCCAGGGTTTTAGCTCAGTGGTTCCACTGCCTGCTTCACAAGCACAAGGTTTTTGATGGTTTCCTACAAAAACTGAAGAAATTCTTTCCATATAATCCAGCAATCACATCCTGATGTTTACCCCAAATTGAAAACTTACATCATACAAAGACCTTCATGCAGATGTTTATAGCAGCTTTATTCATACTTGCCCACAATTAGAAGCACCAAGATGTTCTTTGGTAGGTGAACAGATAAATGTGGTACATCCAGACAATAGATTATTATTCATCTCTATGAAGAAATGAGTAGCTGGGCATGGTGGTATACACCTGTAATCCTAGTACTCAGGAGGCTGAGGTGGAAAGATTTTAAGTTCAAGGCCAGCCTAAACTACATAGCCAGACTGTTTAAAAAACCAGGACCAGGACAGGAAAAGAGAAATGATCAAGCTGTTAAAAGATTTGGAGGAAACTTAAATGCATTTTAGTAAGTAAAAAAAGCCAATCCAAAAAGTTTACATACTATATGATTTCACCTCTGTGAATCCTAGAAAAGGCAAAATTATAGAGACAAAGGATCAGTGGTTGCCAGGGTTTGAGAGGCAGGGGTGAAAGATGGAACACTGAGGATTTTCAGGCAGTAAAACTACTCTGTCTGAGACTAAAATGATAGATATATGTCATGAATTGTCTAAATCTACATAATGTTCACCAAAAGTGAACTCTAATGTAAACTGTGAACTTTGGATGATGATATGTCAGTGTAGGCTCTGCTGAAATAAATAAATGTACCATTCTGGTAGGGGATGTTGCAGATTGGGAAGTTACACATGTGAGAGGACAGGGATGTATATGGGAAAGCCTCTGTGCCTTTTGTTCAGTGTTGCTGTGAATGTAAAGCTGTCCAAAAGAAGAAAGCCTAGAAGTTGGCATGACAGTGCAGGCCTGCAATCTCAGCACTCGGGAGACTGAGGCAGGAGAATCACTAGTTCAAGTACAGCCTGGGGCAACTTAATGACTTAGTAAGATTCAGTGTCTCAAATTTTAAAAAATAATGAAGAGCTGAGGATATAGCTCAGTGCAAAGGCCCTGGGTTGATAATGAGCTAACTACTTGCATCTTTGGTGCTTAAGGGTACAAGAAAATCCCTGTGAAAGCATGAGAAAACTCAGGACAAGGAATGTCACAGTCAAGGCCCAGCCTGGCAGCAGAGGCTCTTCTTAGAAGGTGGAAGTGATCAGGCTGTTATTCAGGGATCTACCTGAATGCAAGAGTCAGACAGTTTTCTGCCATCTGTGGCTTTTCTGAGCTGATGCAGTGCCTTTAGAAAAAACCTTGTGGCCATCCCTGACTACTAATGCACAAGCTTGCTGTTTTCATGTATTTGAAATTTCTCCTTGTGATCAGGAGTACTAACCTAATTCGTAGTACTCACTGGACATAAATGCCAAAAAATAGTTCTTTCTGAATATGACTTTTTTTAAAATCCCATGTTTTAGACAAATAGCAGAATCAACCCAGTATCTCATGTTTGAGAGAGGATATGAAAACCTGTGGTTCCTCCCACCTCTCTAGACTGCCCAAGGAAGAAGTGAAGAATTTACCACCTTAATACCACATCCCTGAAGAAATCCTAGCCAGATGAACTGGTTACTGCCTTCCCTCCCCTTTCTCTT